ATCGCAGAGTTCAGGGGCTTATCTGCTTCAATTAAAGTCTGGGGGCTTAATTGCGATTCTGGGGTCGGTTCAGGGGCTTAACTTATGGTTTTGCCTAAATGTTACCTATAAAACTTTTGCTTTCCTATCAATTATTATACAAAAAAAAAACTACAATATACCTATGATGTTCTTTCCCATCATTTTGTTTACTTGTATCACACCAAATTAGGATATTTAGGCTTCATAGGCCTCCAAAGGAACCTTAGGATTAGAAATGGTTATCAAAAAAATGTGCAAACTGCTCAACAACCAAGAAAGGTAATAACAGTAATGGATTAATTTTTATTTTTGACGGTGAGGTTATTTATACAATAATTTGTGCCTGCGTTGAATTTAATCTCTATCTCAAGGTAATAATGATTAAGGTGTTTGTGGTGCATTACCCTAATCAGCTTTACATTTTGTTTGGTTTAGTTAATAATGATTATAGTGTTTGGAAAGATATGTGGGTTAAATTTAAATTGCATGGCAACTACTAAATATCAAAATTTTGGCTTACATTGTATAGCTAGCCGCTTATTAACTAAACTATTCAAAATCTTAATTTTCTTGAATGATTGAATTTACATAACAACATTGCCTTACTAGTTGACGCAACCATTCATCTTGGATGAATTGAATTTGAGCAAGAGTGCCTTAGCACGTTGAAAAGTGGGTTTCTTTTTTTTTCCTTGGAAAAAAAATCAGCCTCTTTCTGAAAAAATTAATTGTACTGTTATTTGAAATTAATCAACTAAAAAAGGAGAGTTTTTAGGGCAATGGGTGTACCACGTAACAAGTAGAAATTACGCATGTGTGTCTTGGCACAAGCAATCTTTGATTTGCAGTATATTATTAAATATCACCTCGCACTGATGAATTATATTTTTTTCTAAAGAACTAGAGATATTCAACCCATGTTGAATTCCTGATTCTTCTACATACATGTAAAGAAAGTAGGAACCATCTCATTTGCACCTCCTATGAGAAAAAGAAAAAGTGAAAAAAAAAAAAAGTGTAAAAGAGCAAGTAGTAAAATATGTTTCGTATAAGCCGATACGGTCTGTATATATTAATTTTAAATTAAATCAAAACGATATAAAATTAAAATTTGTTTTGGTTAAATTTTAATTTTTTTATGAAATTTTGATATACCAACTAATATTTCGCTTATCAGGCCGGGACACCTAAATTACACGGACAATTCAAATCTTTTAAAAAGAAAAAAAAAAAAAAAAGTAAAAAGGCAAATGAGCCCCTGTACTTAGTGAATGGTGGCAATCAGCTCCTATACTCAATGAATAGTGGCAAATCAACCCCTCAACTAAAAACAAACACAAATCAGCCCCTTAACATATATGACAATAAGGTGGTATTTTTTATCCTATATCAGTGTTGAGTCAGTACTAATTAGTAATTTATATTAAGATTTTTAACAGTGTATTTTTTAAATATTTTTATTATTAATTTATATAAAAAAATTTAAAAATGAATTTTATTTTTAACATCAATATTAGTTAAAGTACTTTAATTAGATAGTTAATAGAATTAAAATCATTTTTATATAATAATTACAATATATGTCTTACACGAAATTACTTAAATTTATTAAATTTACAAAAATTAATT